AGGACTGAATTTTAACTCCTAAACAATCGTATACGCGACCGTACGCTTTATTATATTGTTTCCCATATAGTAAGAAGGAGTATGATGGCTCGAAGATGTTATTTTGAAAAGCCTGATTTTCTACTTCTGGGTTTAGTATGATAGAACTTACTGTACTTCGTCGTCTTTTCCTCCATGTCCATAATGCTTGGATCTTCCAAGAATATCGTGACGAAACCTGCATTGAGTTGAACGAATAGGACATGTGGGAAGAAGGAAGGGGGTAGGGAGGAAAGGTGGTTTAAAAAGTTTTAGCCATAGCTATGAAGGTTTTAGTTGGCCCTTCCCCGAAAACGAATCATCATTCCTGTTACCTCCACATCAAGTTACAGGTTCGCAAGGCCTATACCTGAGTGGTAGCGGACGTAGGGATGCTTCTGAATTTAACCACATGTATTTACATATTTATTATACAAACTAATTACAAAGGGGGAATACAAAAGGGGCCAGGGAGAGGACAGGGCCAGAAGGCTTGAGATAGCCTTGACGAAGGGTCGGGGATCAGCCTGGCGGCTAAGGTGACATCCGTGACGACGACCCCCATGCCATGAGGCGGCTGCTTTATATCCGTGTCTCGTGATGAATGGCATGACAGCTTTGTCGTAGGTGTTGCGACAAGGCTGATGAAATCCTGGCGGCTGTCTCGAGCCTACGCATGACTCGACATGGCTGACCTATGACTCGACACCTTTAACTTGGGCTTACTCCGTTATGTTTCTCGACTGGTTGGGGGAAGCCAGTTTCAGACCAGATCACGTCATGGACTCTTTTGATGTTACGAATAAGGATGCTATGCAGGCCACTCTGGAACTGCTCAACGAGAACCACCGGTAAACACCTGTGGCAGCCAGTCACGTAACTCACTTGAAGTGTATGAGCCGCGGCCATTGCATATCCACGGTCATTGTATACGTTAGCTAGCTCTTTTCCTCCTGATTGTTATGTCTAGAATAACAATGTTGTGTGCCACTAAGGCAGACGCTATACAGTAGGTCAATGATTCTCACCGCTTTACTGATTCTTCTTACACATTGCTACATGCGACAATCCTAGACACTCTTATACCGCGTAACCAATCGTTCAGAGAAGCTTATCCTATGCATATTTGTGATAATTGTATTAAACGGTCAGTCGTGGACCGCATTTCGACTCGAACCTAACACGAACAATTTAAGCTTTAGCCCCCCTGGGATGTTGCATGAAAGCAAAATGTAATCATACCGTGTTGTTTATGGCTGAACGGTTAGTAGTCAAACTTGGAGTGGGGATGGTTGATTTGATTTGCATGTTCCTCATCAATTTCTTATTTCTCCTTAGCATACAGATGTCTAAGTGCGCAGCTTGAAAAGCGAGCTCAGGACGTTGTTCCTCCTCGAGGTAGCTCAGATGTGCCAGTAAATCTCTTCATTGTGTAATCTGAAAGCCCTGTTTAACAGTTGTATTGAAAGCGTCTTTGTTTTTTAGTCTTCTTATACACGTATTCCCTATGTTGCATTCTATTTAAAATTGGTTTTTCCAGATCCAAGAAATCGGAAAAGTTTTGGCGTTTAATATGGGTAAGTTATATTCAACAATTCATAGTATCGGTTCCACTGATAGTGGTAGTTTTTTGATCATCTATGGTCTGTCGACAAGCTTTTTTCATTTTGAATTCCTAGTGTTAGGGCGTAGACCGGTCCAGGGCAGCAGTATGGTAAAAAGGGACGAACAGAATGGCTACGTGCAGAAGATGAAGAGGATGAAGGATCACGGAAGGATGATAAGGGTCGTATAAAAGAGGATGTGATGAGGAATAAACATCCAGTCACTGATGTCTCTACCGTCAAATCAACCCGCGATCAGAGAAAGGACTCACAAGAAAGCTGGTAGCACTAAGGAGGCCACGCTGACGATCCAGTAGATCAGGAAGTCAAACCGCCAGGAGCGGCCGGTCAGTAGAAGCAGTTTGATCATCATGACAGGAAGCCTGATAAAGAACATCATGAAAACTTCCACCCGGCCGGTGGAAGTGCGTGAGGCCCCTTCGGGGCAAGACCCGGCTGCGGTCTCGGGTCCGGCTGTCAGTCCAGGGCCATATGTTCCTCGTGAAATACTTGGTGGAGGTTGTTCCAGAATTTCGTGGCTTTAGGGATGCTTACAGAAGGCGCCAATGCCTCATCTTCTTTCAGGAGGTAGGAGCTTCCAATTGTGAGTTTTTGGAATCGCTAGTACAGAGTAAGGAACCTGGAACAGCGACCTTAAAGGCACGGTTCACCATCAAAATGGTTGTTGAGTTCTCCCTCGGGAACACTCAGTGGCCCCAAGGGTAATAGAATGGACCCTCTCGCGCACAAAAACTCGACGGTCAGGGCATAGTGGAAGCCCTGTTCCCGGCTCGCGCGGCTTCCTGCCCCTCTATCGATGTCACGTCAGACAAGTGTCGAGGCGATAAAAATTGCAATTATTCGCTTTATGACCCACACAATCAGCTGACTGCCGAGTAGTGAGGCGATGTTTTTCTCCCATTCTTCTTCCCTCTTTTATTCTTTTTGTTGCCGCGATCCCTTATTTAAGTAACTACCCCAAGAGGCTGAAAAAGGTGTGCTATTTTTCCTCTCCTCAGGTAAGAAGGTGTGGTATAGCCTCGGCCAAAATGGTGCAGCTCTTTATTCAGTCAACGTTATCGCCTTCGTCAGGACCTGGAAGCCAAAAGTATTTGAGATTCATCCATTCATGTACCATTTCAGACTTCAGTTAGCTCAAATATAACCTACAGATATCTAGAAAGGTCGTGATAACATGCGGGGTCGATAAATATGTATGGCTTCTCCGTCTCCAAGGTTATGACTTTGGTCAAGGAATGCCTTGACTGCTCTATATTCAGGTGGTCCGGTCAGTACTTCTGCAAGTCAGGGGATAAGCCATGGGCCAGCGGCTGGCACCAGTGGTAGCCATTGCTTACATGTCAAAAATAGAAATGCTCGTTTTGAATCGCCGACCTGTACTCTATTGCCGTTATGTAGACGACTGCTTTGTCGCCTGCTCAACTCAAAGGGAAATGGACACCTGTTTCGAGCTGCTGAGCACTCAAGCTGAAAATATTAGATTAACACGAAAAAGCCCAAAGACACATGGCTACCTTTCCTCAACATGCAAGTTCAGCTTGAGCGAGAGTTTCGCAGGACCAAGTGGCA